ACTAAGGAACTACCACGACCAGCAAATCACAGGTCAGGATAACGCGCTGTGAGCTAAGTTCCGATGCTCTAATGCTTACTTCTCTAGTTTCTAATATACATACTTCAAAATTTTCAATATCTTTAATTATGGGCAAAACAACCCAAGGGGTTTGTATTGTATATTTCACAATGGGAGGGCATGGCATTAAGGCGGGTGCGAGGCAAGGTTTGTGGGCATGTTGTGCAACCGATCGCGCGACAGGTCCGCCCGCCACCGCCGCGCGCCGCGTTCATTGACCCACTGAACCCCGCTGGAAATGCGCGGTGCGAGCTCACGACGAAGCGACGCGGACGCGCGATGTCTTTGACAGCTATACCTAGACTCGTTTTAGGCGGGAAAACTGATGCGCTATTTTCAATTTCTAAATGCCATAGACAAACTGCTTTTCTTTGTTTTTTTTTTGTCAACAAATCCATCGCGTTGCTTAAATACAATTTAACTATTATTGTGATGTATTGCTTTTCTTTTTCTTAAACGAATATGTTTTCCTTGCGTATACCGTTTTTCTACAATAGCTTCGAAATAAGGCAATCACAACACTTCTAATTAGCGATTTAGATGTGTCGCGTTGGACGCCACATTAGGTGACCTGCTGGTCGTTTGTCATTATCTTTGATTAAAATTATGCGGTGCGGCTTAATGATGACTCTTTAATTAAACATATAAAATAGTCTATCCCATTTGTTAGAACTACACACACACACACACATGTTCAGGTTCCAGTCGTTAATCAGGCTGCCTCGGGATCTTGCAACCCTTCGCCTAACGCGGCTGAGCTACCTACGTAGGTATAAATTATGTTTTATAGGTATATATCAGAACTCCCATTTTACGGCCGTCCCTTTTTTCTCCCGAGATCCGTGCCTCTCAATAGGGTTTATTGTGCGAACGATGCCGACAAAAAATTCTACATAGCCTGACCTCGGTTTTAAGAAGAAATGTTCAATGTTATGACAGTTATTATTAATTTAATGATAGAGATGCCTAACATTATTACTAGACATCAAAACGACTACATATATCAAATCCACAGTATTTTATTCGTAATTTTTAGACAGATCTATCGTTATTGTTATGTGATATCTCTGAACATTAAGTGGATCGATTATTACTTTCCATTTTTCCATCTATTTATAATTCTTATCTACATATCCATCTTAAACATCTACTTAAAATGTTACCTACATAAATATTATGTATTTGTTCAGTGAATACGTATCACTACAATAGTATGGTTCTATCATCTAATAACATAATTGCTCTTACTCATTTCATTTGTTAATTTGAAAACTACTCTTGACAGTGTCAGACACATGCTGCATATCAATTGTCGCGTCAACATGTCTTATGTCCAAATTCTGATTTCATAGCTATCTAAATTATGAATGATTTAAAAAAGCTGTAACATTTACTTAATAGTACAGTACCTATATATCATCTTAAGTTTACAAGGATTAAATTGTACGGTAAATAGATTGATTTGAATCCGACAATCCAATCTGAAAAGGCATTACTTTTAATGGATTATAGCCGAGTAACACTTAACTTGGAACTAGCATTTAGTTGCGGTTAACGTCGCAGATCTACCAACACAATTACGGTAACCGAGAGTAACTATAGCAGTTACGTAAGACTGTCGTAGTGGCCCTTAGTTTCGAAACGTTTCTAACATTTGGTCTTATTAAGTATCGTCTATTCGGACCTTTGTAGGCGTACTATTGCCCCGCTTTCACTTTACGCTTTCTCTATGTAATTAAAAATTATCACAGTTTGCGTAATAGGTCGTTATTTAAATATAAGAATGATAAGTACTCATCATTAAGAAAATGACGTAACTATCTTACTAATATTATAAATGCGAATGTATAGATGGATGGATGTTCGTTAGAGTTTGTAGGTTAAACGGCTGAATAGATCTCGATGAAATTTGACATAGACGTAGAAGATAATCTGGAAGATAACATAGGCTACTCACTTCTGTTTTTTTCTTTTAATTCTACGCGGACGGAGTCGCGGACGAAAGCTAGTTTTCTATATTTATCTAAAGAATATCGTGACATTTGACATGACAATGGAAAATATTCATATTTCGTTGTAATCCTTACAAGTGTCTTAGTTTTGTGGTTTTATTCACTAGTATGAAAAAGCTAAAATATATTGGTAACGTATCGTGTACACAATAGAAAGTGTTAAACGAAGAGTACCAGAGTTACAGTTATAATCTTTAATGTGCGTCCCAGATATGCAACCTTGAATAAGTACTCACTGCTATTTATAAAGCGAGATTCCCGCGATCCGAAGTGCGCTGGATGTAACTAATAAACAAATCCACAGCACAGCAGATCTTCACTATTTATACGTTTCTATTTATACGGTTTTGCGAACTCGTCACAGGTATGAAATAATGTTAGGTTTGTAAAATGTTTATAGATGTTTTGATTAAAGATGAGTTATGACGACTGAACAATACTACTGTGTATAGTTAAGAGCAATTCCGTTTTTGATGAAACTATAAACAAGGTGTAGTAGTAGTATATGAGTACCGCATTGCCTAAAAAACCTTGAGAAATGGATTACCCACTTTTTGGATAACAAAGTAATTTAGTAAATCAGTTATTAAATAGTTCAACACAAATAGGGCCCATTTTGTGCTTTGTATCAACTAGCATGCTAATTATACGTTTTACTCAACAAAAACTTCCTACAATAGAAAGCTACAACGAAAACAAAAGATAAAACAAAAACTCATTTTCACTGGTATTTTGTAGTCTATGTTTGGAGAAACTTGTTATTCTTCTAGTTTACTCAATGATAAGATCTACTACAAATAATGTGTACTAATTTTTGTTTTTATTTTTGAAATAATTTTTAGATTTGCACTTGTGAATCGGGGATTTAAATCAGAATTATAATGGCCTCAAAATTGAATGTTTCTCTCTTTTAAGTATTCGTTTTCTTTGCTTATTATTTTTGACCGACCTCCCAAAAGAAGGTGGTACTCAATTCGTTTGTATGTTTTTTTTGTATAAAATAATTCAGAATAGACTAAAACCAATATCTATGTAATCTATGTAACCTTATATTTATTATGTTGATATAAATATTGTTATCTGTTCTCTCTGTTTTCTTGAGAGAGAGTGAGCGGGATGACATTACTTTGTTTTTGTCCACAGTATCGGACATCTGCGCAGCATTGACTCAATAATACTATCACACAATCGGTGTTATCAATGGAATAAATATTTCCACTATCACACAAACAAGACGCTTGTGTAAACAGTGCGCGTGGCGTGTGCCGATGCGTTGGATGTAATTATGCCCACAGATAGTGTGACAAGGTCGCAGCTCGCGTCGGTAGGGCTTCGACTGTAACTAGGCCACCAAAACTCCTACCAACCAATGTTTAACATGATATTGATGTTCAGATTGTTTATTACTGCGAGTTCGAGCGTTGTGGACTTTAAATTTAGATATATTTAGTTATTGAAGAACTGTATTCTTATAAGATTTAAGCTATTCTCTTTGGATCAGAGTCGTTGTGTACAGAAGTTTTAGCATTTTTGTGTCAAAAACGTGGTATAAACCTATACTAATGTTATAAAGAGGAAATATTTGTTTTTTGTATGTATTGAAATAACTCAAAAACTACTGGGCCGATTCGAAAATTCTTTCACCATCAAAACCTACGTCAGTGAGCAACATAGGCTATATTTAATTTAATTTCAATTTAATTGACAAGAAATCGTCACAGCAATTATTTTTCATTCGCTTAGATCTTGTACAAGATATTGTTGTCAAAACAATAGTATGAATTTAAATATAGATGAAAGCGCAGGGAAGGTCGCTAAGCGGAGTTTCACGTGTTGTCTTAAGTGTTCGCTGCTCTTAGATGACCTAAAAAGCTGGAAGTTTTCTCGGCAGTTTCATACAACCGTAGCGAAACATATGGACGTGACTCAGTTTAAATAAGTACTACGTGTTTTTGCAAAACTATTTTTTTCCCAGATTCTGAAATTAAAGCTTCGATATGAATGCAAATGATTCTACAAATTTTATTGTTTCAAACAATTAAAATGACTCTTCCTTTTTAAATACATTTACCATAATGTTTTAATTTGTTATCCCAGTTCCTCTGATTCTTTACTTGAAATTCAGAAAATTTTTTCTGTACTTAGTGAACGTAATTCTTGTCAACAAGAGTTAATTGGCAAAACAATAAGAACAAAACAGGTATAACACAACTATCACGGTCAAACACAATGTCATATGACGCGCACGATATAAACATCATATAGTAATGTATTTATGTACCTTACAAGTATGTACACATAAATATCGTTGAACACTCGTATCTTGTACGCAACAACTTCATAAAACGAGATAATGCACAGGTCATTAAGCCTCCGATGCCGTTTACATTGTTTATAAATCACCAGTTAATAATAATAGAATTAATGCAATAGGAATTTTATATTAGAACTCACAATTGGAGAAATTAAGTCATAAAATAATTTTTAGTAGCCGAAATTTTCTATTAGTCAATATGTAGCTTGTCTACCATAAGAAATCCAAATGCGGCTTCAAAGATTACATTTTTTTGCGTGAAAATATGTTCCATATTATGCCACGCATCGTTCCTTACTTCCTTAAAAAAGCTGATTTGTTGTTATTGCCGTCTCTATTTTACTCTTGCATCTCTCTTCAACACTTTAGGCGCGAGAATCCAGCAAATATTATGGGAGGGGTTTTGCGGCAAACAAAGGCAAATTCGAACAGTTCTGATATTAGTGCTGCTATCTATGGTCTCAACGTGTAAAATATGAACCAATACTTGTCCAATGAATGTTTGCAGTAATGGTTCTTCCTTTATACGATAGATGGCGTGAAATCATTTTTCTGCTAATATTTTGTACTTTGACATAAAATTGTGAATTAACAACACAATTTTATTTTTCCAGGTGTTAGTGGAATATGATGGTGTCGACTGGCAACGTCGTGAGTGGGTAGCGGTCCATTCGAGAAGAACTTTTAGAGTGTTTTTAGTGGAAAGAACTTTAGTGTGGGCTCCTAAAAAATATGAAAACGAAGAAGTGAAATGGCCGGCTTTGGTAAGTAAATTTTAAATTCTTTTGCCAGTAAAGTGTTTTGCACATATTAATTTTTTTGTACCCTAACCTGTTTAAAATAAAAAAAAAACAACATAGGACGTGTATGTTTATTAATTTTAGTACTAAAATTATTTTCGAAAAGATGCCCTCTTGCGGGTGCAGCAGACACCAAGTGAAAAGGATATTATTCACGAGAGTGTTCGGTAGATGGCGCTTGCAGTTACAAATTCGAGTTCTTTGCTTTATAATGGTTGTCTCATTTACAGTCAGGAAAAATTAGACATTTTAGTAAATCTGAAATACAACGCTTTGCAATTTTGGATAAAGAGTTCAATTATATGAAAAGATGACTTATTTATCATTCTGAAACTTTACCTAAGTCGGTCCAAAAATCCCTTTGGAAATTACAATCAGTCTAAGGAACTGGCTGAAATTTGAAGAGTCGTTTAATTTTTAATAAACCCCTTAGTAAACCATTTAATTAAATAAGATTTAAATACTGATGTGTCGGTTTCTACCTAATGCTTGAAATGTTCAGTCATGTTTTTATTTTAATAAACCTCCTTGCTAATCATGATGACTAATTTTCTTGTTGAGAAATCTGTTGGTAGAGATTCCGGTCACAAAACTAAGGGGACTGTAATTACCCTTATGCAAATTTCTAACAGAAAATGAGAAAAATGTAATTGATCCTTATTTGTACGTAAATTTGAAAGTAAATTTTATTGTTAAGTTTTTAGGTTATAGATTTTTTTGACTATAGAATTCATGAATAAAAGAATTATGCAAGACGATCGTTGCTCATGTATGCATTATCATAGGAAAAATACCAAAGGCTCCCTGACATCGTTCTGAGCCCGTATACCGATTTAAGTGAATAAACAACTGCTGTTTTGACTTTGAAATACACAGACGAATGACGCGAACAAACATCGAGATTCTATACTATTTACATCGCTCTGTTATAAAATAGGGATTTTGTTTATGGTTTTTTAAAATAATATTTATTAATACTGTTTCATATTGTTGATTAAAAATGTGTTTTAAAAGGACTATTAGAAAAGTTATTAAAATAACCAAAAATTACCCGTAAACGTGATAAAAGTTAACGTTACATAAAAGGTTGTTAAGATTAACTGTTGTATTTAGCAGTTAAATATCCACTAAGGTAATTACTTAGTATGTATAGAGTTCTCATACTAAATCGACAATATGTATATAACTTTAGGACTTTAAAGGCCTGTTCCCCTACTGGCTGATAGAGGCTCGGATAGCTTAAAAATGACGCCACTGTCAGATAAGGGAACAAAATCCGATATTTCCATCACATCTCTGACACGTTGGATTGTTATCAGCCAGTGGTGGGACAGGGCCTAATTGTGGCAGTCAGTTTGTATAGCGTGAGCATTTATAACTCCATTTAAGTAAATGTATAAGGAATGTAAATGATTTGCATTTAGATCATGAGGCACGTACCGTAGTGATGAAATGATTTACCTCATTCACGTGTCGGGGCGACCTCTGCTCGATGCCAATTTATACAAGTCACGTTTGACTTTGTTTATTTTACACCGGAGTGATCATAATTCTTTTGTGTTAGGTGTTTATTAAAACGAGCTTTTTAGTGGTATACACTGCCTGAGCCAATTTAATGTTATTGTATAAAATTATTGTTAGAATTAAATTCCAGACAGTCTGAAAATATCTAATAGAGAATCATAAAAACAATTTATTTAATCTGGTTCATTATTGTAAATATTAAAATACGAACGAATTTTTGAATAATTTTTACCCTTGCTTATAAACGGTTAAGAGATTGTGCTTCTTGCCGCTAGAGGGCATTGGTTTGATCGTTTTACTTATTTGTGTGTTTACTCAATATGCAGATAAGTTCTGGAAATTTCGTACACATTTGTATGTGTTATTTGTATTAACTATGTCCCTTGACTTTTAAACATCACATTTAATTGTTTAATTTGAACACAAAATATCTTCTTCGAAAAGCTTAAAGTAATTAATAATTGTTTATTCAAATCAATGACAATTGAGCTAGTAAAGTAATATGACTTTTTATCTAAAAGATAGATTACATTATAAGGATAGTAAGAAGTATACATTGTAAAGTGGAAATATAACAGAGTTATATAATCCTTTTGTAGAATGTGATTCATTTATGTTTACATATTCCTTAGTTCTTGGAATGAGCGATGCGGATCGTCGGTGCGTGTTTGTGTGCATCAGATTGTCAGTATAGGTGTAAGGTGACTTTAGGTGTTATTCAACTTGCACAACGAACTGCATACTGATGCTTTTGTGATGGATGTCTGTTGACGTAAATGTACAAGCAATATGTTGCCATCAATACTGATGTAAGAAAGAAAGAAATCAGTTTATTCAAAACATGAAAAGGAATTCATTCGGACATGTGCTCAGTGTACACCTAAGCGCCGGTTTTCAATGATTCCTAAAAACAAAACACGCAGTTTTACTAAATAGTAGAAGAAAAAAAAACATGAACCTAATATTACACTCGGTCACAATTACAAAACTAAATCTAAACCTAAAGCCAAAGCTATACTGTGTACTGTTTGTCACTAAATGAAGCTGCATATAAGCTGTATTGATGTATATGATAGGAACAACTGTAACGCATAGTAAATTGTACAAATGTTCCGGTAACAGCAGTTAGAGAGAGATAAAATCACCTACCTCTTTAGTTTGTTAGGTTTTGCTAATTTATTTTGTTAGTTAATTTAATTGAGGCTTCTAAAAATTGGTTCTAAATTGTAATTATGTACGTATTGAAGATATAAAATTAACTAAACGCATAGTTATTTTAAGTATTGTAAATAGATAATGGATTTATTCCTTTGAATTACCTTAGCATGATACAGCGAGATTTAATTTCTGGGAAAAAATTATTTCATCAGAATTCCAAGAGAATTAAACACGAACTCATTAGGTATTCAACAAACTTTATAATAATGCTACATAAAGAGAACCGTTGTAATTAAACGAACAATTCTCACGAGTTACGGAAAGATTTGCGTCGGTTTACGGATAGCATTACCTACTCTTTCTCTTGGATTATTGTAAATCTCCTGGTATACGAAAATAATGTTTTTATTATGTTTTAATAATTTAGCATTTTTATTGTAAACTGTTACTCTTCTAGGGTTACTGTAAGAGTCCAGTTTTAATATCGAGAATTACATTATTTAATATTTAATATTCAGACCAACAGCAAATGATTATTCGAATATTTTGTAGTGACAACACTGATTTGGTAGAAGTAAATTTGGAGGGTAGAAAGAGGTCGATTGGCCAGGCTCATTTCGTGAGGAGGAATATAGTTGTGATTTCATTTATCTACATTTTCTTAAGTACTCTATCTAGGCATCCTGAAAGTCTACATCTCCATAGATTTAGTTTTATTTTACTACCAGTATACATGTAGAAATCTAGTGAGAAAATGTTTAAACCCCAAAACTGTTAAGTATGAAAATTCGAAGAATTTCAGTCATATCGGATAAAGTGGTAGCCCTATCTTTAATTAAACGCATGTTACGTAAATATAAATTGGCCGTAATTTACGTCGTATCGTATCTTCTGTAAGATATCTGCGTAATTTATAAAAGTTTACTCAACGGATGGTCGAATAAAAATAAGGTCAAGGGAGAGTAATCACTCTTGTTACGAGAAAGGATGTAGTGAGGTCATGAAAACCATTACAGATGTCACGATAATCGTTTATTATGAATAGTGAATACCTCGGTAAGGCAATAATGATAACGTGTTGTTGAATGTTTTTGTTTATTATACTTGCCAAATAAAATTTATTTATCGGAGAGTATACGAAATACACATTCACGTTGATGTATTTTCTATTATTGATTGTTTATGTTGTAATAAGAAAATATATACTGTAGCTTCATATATCAATTAATAAATTAACTGTATTTTAATAATATCATTGATCTACAAACTTTCGTTTAAGAAGATATTATACTTTTAAAATGGTTTATATTCAAAGAATCTAATGAATTTTGAGTTCAGTGTAATTAATGTTGATTTATTTATTTTCCAGACGTTCAGTCCATTATTTGCTGTGGACGTGACACTCCAAGCTGACTGTCAGCCTGTCGAGTTCTTGCATGACCGCTCGCTACAATTCCTGGACTATGCCAACCTTCAACCATTCCAGGTGACTATAGTATTTATACATTATTACGCTATTTGACAATAGATGGCGCTGCCAAACACTTTTGGATAGTTCGTGTTGAAATACTGGTAACTGTTGTTTAAAATTTGATGATTTGCGAAGTTACTGTTATAAAATATAAAATGTAATAGATACACGTTAGGAACGGGAACATTAAAGCATAGCTCGTATATTTTACTCCCACACGCGGCTCATGCTCAGTCTTGTCTTAATTTGTACGATGATTCATGATCAAAACAATTATTATTTCCTCTCTTGAGATCTGACCGATGCTTTTGAAATGACTAATATAAATCAATGAGCTTAAATTTCCTTACTTATAAACTAACGTACGTAAACGTGGGTTTTTACAGGCGTGCAAAAACAATTGTATCTCTCTAAACAATGAGAAAACAAAATGTCCAAGTCACTAACAGTCGAATATAAATAATAAATAGTAATCCTATATTATATAAAGTTTTTTTTTGTCTTTTTTTAGTTTTTATTATTTGTACGTAGGTGGTTTTTAATACAAAATCTCCATATTTGTTTGTAACACAGTCAGCGTAGTTGGTATTGATTTTTTGCGAACTAGGAAATTAACGTGAGAACTCAATGCAGCCTTGATTACTTTAAATCTTGTGTCCGAAGGCCTTACATGCTTATCATTTATGGATATAAACATAACATAAGTTAATGTCCTAATATGTCTAAAGTAGGGAGGGAAAATTTATAACTTTGGTTGTAATCATGTTTCCGTTTTTTGAAAATTCACCCCCATTCACAAAGTCGCACGTGAAAACCATCCTTTGTATAAAAATGTAATTAAAATTTAAGGAAACCGCCTTTGTTAAATTAATTACCGATCGTAGTCGTTTTTAATAACTTCCTCATTCTTATTGATTTCTATGAATGAACGCAAAGTAATAAAACCACATTAAAATTCTATACATCACAACATACACACGTACTCACACATCGACAGACTTTATCGTATGCATATTTTATTAGATCCGACCGTGACTAAGTTACGTTTTATGTCTTTGGGGATTTATGTCGCGAGATTAAACTTTTCTCGTAAAATTGTTTACAAACACAAACGGGACAATTGTAATGCCTTTTAGATAACATTTGTACATTCATCTTGATAATCATTTACTTCATCCATTTTAAGTGTTTCATTTTCATATTACGATACTTCATAACGATGAAGTAACAAATTTTCTAAATATCATTCACTAGTTTTCGACTAGGAATCCGTCCGCGTAGAATTAAAAAAACAAAGTGACTAGCCTGTGTGTTCTTACAGACTCTTATCCCTATTTCAAGTTATAACTTAGTGTAAAATATGTTTTAATACGGTTTAACATAGTTTAAACTAAAAACTGTTGTTATTAGTTTGGGTAACAGAAAAAAGTAAATCGTTGCCAACGCTAAAGTTAAATCCTAAAACAACATTGTAGAGTAACGTTATGTTAAACTTAACGCTATTCCAATACTATTCGAGTAAGTCTTTCAACAATGTTTGCGCAGGTGTTGACGAGTGTGAGGCGTAATAACAAAGTAACAAAACGCATAATCGACCTAATTCTCGGTGCGACGGACGGTACACTGTTTATCTAAAGTTGCCCGGGCGAAGTGGGTAGATCAAGGACGATGTCTGCCAAACAAGGGGGAGGGTTTCCCCGGGAGACGGGTAGCCCGGGGCGCGATGGTTTGAGGCTGAGCTGGCGAGGGAGCTGTTTTGATGTCCCCCCCGTACGCCGACCCCCGCTCGTCGCCAGCTATATTGATTTTCCGCGCCCACGCTACACCCGCCTCCCCTTTACTATATACATATTTAGGAGGCAGGTGCCCGCTGTAGTGTCAAGTTATTTTCGGTTATCCTGGCCACATCCAACGCTCCCAGATACCGCCATGATTGATGACTATTTGACTTTTTTATAACTTTCTGTTTTTAATAACTTTCTTGTTTCTCTTGTTATTTACTTTGCAAGTTTGCGCTGTGATATTTTTGGTTGTTACAAGACTTTTCTTTGTCAATATTTTATTACAAAATATTTTGCCCATTTCAGAGACTGGGTGTAAAAATAACGATCGTTTTAATTCCTTGACCTTCTTATTTCTTATATCAAGAAATTATTTTTCGATATAAACGTTAATAGAATTTCTGAAAAATGCTTATAGTCATACTGTTGACGACAATGGAATTTGTAAATTAATCCTGAATAAAGAGAAATATTCTTTTGAAATATTTTATGATTTAATCAAAATTGAAATGCTTTACTTTTTTGTTTGTTGTTGAATATATTTAAGTAAAAAGATTATGACTGTAATGAAACTGTTTATTTTTTTAGTATAAACAAAATTAACAACCCGTGACCGTAACTGTATTTCTTTATTTGGTGTAATTCACAAGTACCATTTTGAATTTGTTTTAAATGCACATAATTTGAAAAACTTAATTATTCGAAGGGCAAGAAAAGTTTTAAAGCGAGTTTCCGAAGTTTGCCGTCATCGCACGCAACTCCACTGTTACGTTGCCGCAAAATTTAAACGAGTTAAGTTTGTTTGAGCCGGCTTGCTCCACTGTCCGTCGTACCCCTACGTAGGGGTGGCAGAGGGTGGGGCGTGACATTGATAAAGGCTTGGGTTAGACACGAGAACCGAGACAATGTTCAATCGAGCCCCTTTTATTATGTAAGCCAATGACGCTTTACATATTTTGTATGTTCTTTGTGTAGAATATATTGTATATTTTATTCTTATCAATCAAATAAGTGAAATTTACTTTTATATCAGCGATAGGTATAAGAAGTAGATTTAAGAAAAAAACACAACGAATTGAGAACCTCCTTCTTTTGGAAGTCGGTTTTAAAACTAGTTGTCAAGACTATTTACTACATTTTTTGTAAGTTCTTGTGGTATGAATGTATAATTCAAAATCTTATCGTGAATAAAAGTGACTCATCGTTTTAATTACTTAAATCTAATTTTAACCTCTCGACCGCTACAGCAACCGCAAACCCGTCCACTAATTAAGATTACAATATGCTAATAAGCATTAAATTGGATGAAAATAACAGCTATTAAGTATTCTGTAGATATTTTAATTCTAATCTTATACTATTCGTTTTAACTTTAAATATTTAAATCCATAAAAGTATGCGTTTGAATATTAATACTAAGATTTTTTTTATTATTCATGCTCAATGCATTAAAACTTATGTAAATTATTTTATTCTGTATATTGATATGTTTTTGGAGAATTGTTAATTGATAATTTTTGAACCTTTTCTATTTCCATAAACGAAATGTATAAAAGGAGATTTTAGCCACTGTAAAATGGATTGCACTGCCAAAATGTAAATAAAAAAATAATGTTAAACTCTACGGGAATACAAACACATGGAACGGCTTTGCACTGGATTACAAAGTACCGTATTTATGTTTCCACTTTACGTTTTCGCTAGTCGTTTATTAGAAGACGTGAGCTTGCATCTATCTCGTGCAGTGTGATGGATGCGCTTAGTGCATTGTCTAGAGCTAGACTAGAGTACACTAGACTTGTGCTCTCTATACGTATAGAGTTCCTACGAGGATTTATTGCCAGAAACAACCGAGTTGAATGTAAAATTATATAGTACATGAATGGATTGGCTCAATCGTAAGTGAAAGGATTATCGAAACTTAGTAAATTCACTAAACGTGTAAATTGTTTTATGAAATATAAATTATAAAGACTTGGTAAATCGTTTAATAATGATATAGATAGCTATAACAAATTGTATCATATATACAATAATTGCGATGTCGTAATTGAATTTCTTGTTTCGAAAATCCAACTGTAATACGAAAAGAATAATAGCGATATCATTATATTTGTTATGATATAAAATGTTTTGTTATAAAATGTTGGTACACATATGAATCTTTCCTTCTTTAATAATATATGCAGTAGTTTTATCGATCTTAAAACTTTGAGCTGCTTACATAGATGTTTTATTGTAACTCGGCGAATGTTTCTGCTGATCGTTTTTATAGTTAAATAAAAGAAAGTTTGTTCAGCTGAAATATGATCTGTGTCACGAATGTGCCTGAGTCGATGTTTGTAGCTTCGGTTTGTTTAATTTTGTGTTGACACAGTAACAATCGTATTGTCTTCGTTTGCATTACTATGAAATTGTATTTCAATATAGGTATCGCTAACGATGTGTAGAATTGTTCTGCGTTTAATACGTACTTGTAGTTTAATGTGATTGTTTTTTTTATTCAGAATAAACATATCGATATTTTATTATTACTCGATATTATATATCTAAAGTATTTTGGCAATTAAATAATATCGAGGAAAATGAGGTATTTTGGTATTAAATTTGATACCGGATCGTTAGAAGGCCTCCGAGAATCCCGAGTAACGTAAACCGGAAATTCCTTGCCGACTTTGATTAAAATGGGCATTAATATTGCTTAAGCAAAATACTTGTCTACTTGATGTTTATTAACAAGCAAAACGTTTTATTATTGAAGTAGCCGCCCCTCGTAATTAGGGAGCAAATTAATCCCCCTAAAGTGATCTGGATACAACCGTCGACATTTGATACATCTGCTGATGCTTGCTTCTTTGCTATTTGCAGTACAAATATGGACGTTAGTATGTTGATTTGGCTATCACGTTTTAGTTTTCTTTCAGTTGTCGTAATATTATGGCTCTTTAAGCCACGTTTTTTATCTCGTAACAGCCAAATACCGCATTTGTATTTTCATATCTGGGTACGGATTAAAAAAGTAAAAAGTGCCATTCTATTATAAAAGGCCGCGATGCCATGAAATTGTGGCTTAACCAAGATCATGAACTGCAGCTCTCTTCTCTTCTTGTCCTATGTCCCCAGAGTGGGGCAGAGGGCGTCCACAATACGCCGCCAACTCGCTCTAGCAGCTAACTGCAGCTTTTGTGTCTACATTATAACTTTAATTATTTTAAAATAATCTCTTGTAAGATAGCTGCATATTTATTACTTAAATGTTTTATTAAAACGAAATATTATCAACGTCTTGGTCCATAAGATTTAATGATACTGTCCCTCGGTTAATTAACACACGATAATATGGGAGATACCTGAGCCTGTTTCTTGAATATTCATGCGGTGACTATCTTAAAGAGATTCAACCTAAAATACTTCCTTATTAGTTGAATGTTGAAAGCCATAACGTACTTATTAAGTGTCATGAATTTACTCCATATAAATTGTATGTCTGATTGATTGTGGTATTCTGTAAACTTAACGACTGATTGTTGTAGTATAAGAGATACGTATTTTCTTCGGACCTTGGCTTAGACGGAAATTTTGATTTTTGTATCACCATTGCCAGATATAAGTATGTGTGTATGGTTAAGAAGATAAATTGTTTGGTTTAGTTAAAAATCTGCAAATAAAAAGGAAACATTAATATTTTTGGTTTTTTTTAAGTATTGAAATAACATTAAAACTACTTGACCGATATCAATTTTTTTTCGCCAGTATAATGCTACGTTATCAGTGAATAAGATAGGCCATATTTTTTAATCCCACGTCAAGGAAGTCGAGAGCAACAGCTAGTATTTGATAAAGGTGGAGTTTGATTAAATTTTGTAACACCTGGTAACCCCTGCACTGTTGAACATTGCACAAGTGATCAATATTGAAATTATAAGACAACAAGGTGTATTACGTTTTGTTGTTTGGTATGTCCCCTATCAGTAGTTGCATCGGAGTGCGCTTCATCGAAGGGAGCGGCCAGGAAATTGAATGAGGGACCGGGGGCGAATGTGTGCCACGTCTAATAGCTTCCTGGTGGCTCGCTGCAACGACCTCTCTAGACGATACAATCGAAACTACAGATTGTTTATTGTGTTAGGCAATACTGTAACACTCCTTTCTAAGCCGGTACATGGTATATGATAGGCTAGGAACTTTGCACTTAAAGAAAGGTTTTCACTGTCATCTTTCAACCAACTTTGGTGTTTAAACAACAAAAATATTGTAAGTCAATATGTAAAGAGTCCCAAATTATTTTACTTTTAAATAAATATAAACTCTGTCTAACTACATTTATGCACAAGTAATGAGAAATTTCTATGTCCAACAATGATACAGCATATTTTAAATAATACAAAAGAAATAAACACTGTAAGAGCGGAAACTACTTGAATAATGAGGTCGTGAGACTGTCTTTGTATTTATTTTAAAGATCAAAAGGTTGAATTTTTCTTTAATAAAACAAATTCACTTACGTAATCGTATAGAAATACGAGCACTTCAATTGTTTTATTACTTTAGTAATATCTATTGTGGAACGACTACGCCCTTTGTTTGAAATACACCCTTTGCGAACGTTTGTTGGCAGTCAAATTATCTGATCAGTACCACTTTCACGATAAGCCACGGCTCATGGCTGTTTGTAGTCTCGTCGTAAATACTAATTTAATTGTGAAATTATTTGCTTTGTTGTTTATTTGATGAGAATGAAATATGGTTTGTTTGAAGCTACATGTTGTAGAATGTTTTAATTATACAAATGTTACAAAGAGTAATACGACGTGGAATAGACGATAAATTTTAGGGACATATTTATGTTCTCTTATACTCATTGAACGCTGCTAAAAGTAACCTTGAAACGAATTTTAATAAATCTGTTAAAAGCAAGTCATTATATATTAATCTAAAATTTTAATTAAATCGTATAAGCAAAATGACATGAAAGAGAATCTCGTGTTACATAAGATAAATGCTAATAAAGCTGAGTCACCGTGAATACAAACAACGTAGCGAGCAAATGAATTGTCCTTGGAAAACTAAGGGCACGTCTTAAACGTTTAAGGCAAAGTTAATTATTTAATTATACTGTTCTGCGTACTGCGTAGTCATTGGACATTCTCTGACTTTGTATCACGTGATCTCAGTATATGTACGTGTTACTTCCATGTTATAGTGATTTGTTATTAAATTGAATTTTTAATTTCAATGATAATAATTGATAAAAGAAGTAAAAACAAGGTTTAATATTAATGATTACTAATTGGAACCTTAGATATGACGATACATCGATGGTATACATTAAATTTATTTGTAGCATAAAGCTAACAATTCTAAAGAAATATAATTTTTAATTAGTAGATAAACTGACATTTTATTATATTGTTATCTGTATTCCACTAATTAATGTACGTAATCTATTTAATAATTTATAGCATCGACTTTCCTTATATGTTAAATAGAAAGTAGAATTTAAGAAAATAATTTAAGCAACAACTTTCATGTCGTTATCCGAGTGTATGTTGAATCAGAACGTTAAGTACTTGTA